TCAGCTGGAGTGGGACTTAAAATAGTTCATTGTGTTGTTCAGCTGGAGTGGGACTCAAGATAGTTCATTGTGTTGCTCAGCTGGAGTTGGTCTCAGGATAGTTCATTGTGTTGCTCAGCTGGAGTGGGACTCAAGATAGTTCATTGTGTTGTTCAGCTGGAGTTGGTCTCAGGATAGTTCATTGTGTTGCTCAGCTGGAGTGGGACTCAAGATAGTTCATTGCATTGTTCAGCTGGAGTTGGACTTAGGATAGTTCATTGTATTGTTCAGCTGGAGTTGGACTCAGGATAGTTCATTGTATTGTTCAGCTGGAGTTGGACTCAGGATTGTTCATTGTAATGTTCAGCTGGAGTGGGACTCAGGATAGTTTATTGTATTGTTCAGCTGGAGTGGGACTTAGGATAGTTCATTATATTGTTCAGCTAGAGTGGGACTTAGGATAGTTCATTGATTGTTCAGCTGGAGTGGGACTCAGATAGTTCATTGGTTGTATTGTTCAGCTTGTGGAGTGGAGTGGAAAGTACTCAAGATATGTTCATTGTATTGTTCAGCTGGAGTGGACTCAGGATAGTTCATTGTTTGTCAGCTGGAGTGGACTCAGGATAGTTCATTGTATTGTTCAGCTGGAGTGGGACTTAGGATAGTTCATTGTATTGTTCAGCTGGAGTTGGACTCAGGATAGTTCATTTTGTTGCTCAGCTGGAGTGGGACTCAGGAATAGTTCATTGTAATGTTCAGTGGAGTGGGACTCAGGATAGTTCATTTTTATTCAGCTGAGTGGGACTCAATAGTTCATTGTTGTTCAGCTGGAGTGGGACTCAGATAGTTCATTGTGTTGTTCAGCTGGAGTGGGACTCTAAATAGTTCATTGTGTTGTTCAGCTGGAGTGTGGATCTGTACAGATAGTTCATTGTTTGTTCAGCTGGAGTGGGACTCAGAAGTTCATGTGTTGTTCAGCTGGAGTGGACTCAAATAGGTCATTGTATTGTTCAGCTGAGTGGGACTTAGATAGTTCATTGTAGTTGTTCAGCTGGAGTTGGACTAAGGATAGTTCATTGTGTTGTTCAGCTGGAGTGGGACTCAAGATAGTTCATTGTGTTGTTCAGCTGGAGGGGACTTCAAAATAGTCATTGGTTTTCAGTGAGAGTGGGACTCAAATAGTTTCATCTGTGTTGTTCAGCTGGAGTTGGGACTCAGCATAGTGTCATTGTGTTGTTCAGTAGAGTGGGTCAAAATAGTTCATTGTGTTGTTCAGCTGGAGTTGGACTTAAATAGTTCATTGTGTTGTTCAGCTGGAGTGGGACTCAAGATGGTTCATTGTGTTGTTCAGCTGGAGTGAGACTCAACATAGGTCATTGTGTTGTTCAGCTAGAGTGGGACTCAAAATAGTTCATTGTGTTGTTCAGCTGGAGTTGGTCTAAGGATAGTTCATTGTGTTGTTCATCTGGAGTTGGACTCATGATAGTTCATTGTGTTGTTCAGCTGGAGAGGGATTCAAAATAGTCCATTGTGTTGTTCAGCTGGAGTGGTACTCAAAATAGTTCATCTTGTTATTCAGCTGGTTTGGGACTCAGCATAGGTCATTGTGTTGTTCAGCTAGAGTGGGACTCAAAATAGTTCATTGTGTTGTTCAGCTGGAGTTGGTCTCAGGATAGTTCATTGTGTTGCTCAGCTGGAGTGGGACTCAAGATAGTTCATTGTGTTGTTCAGCTGGAGTGGGACTCAAGATAGTTCATTGTGTTGTTCAGCTGGAGTGGGACTCAACATAGTTCATTGTGTTATTCAGCTGGAGTGGGACTCAACATAGTTCATTGTGTTCTTCAGTTGGAGTGGGACTCAAGATAGTTCATTCAGTGGTTCAGCTAGGGTGGGACTCAAGATAGTTCATTGTGTTGTTTAGCTGGAGTGGGTTCGACCATGTTCCTCAGGTTCGCTGAAACCTGACCCTCAATTACCAATGATAATATTCGCACGAATTTAATAACGATCATTCCTGTAGTAACACCTGTATTAAGAGTCTAATGAACAAAATATTTGATAAGGCTGAATGATTAGATGATTCCTGAACAGTGATTATTCTTTCTTGTACTTGGTGGTGGAACAGCATCGAGAGAAGACTCTGCGAAGTACCCAGCAAAAGAGGCAGGTCATCAGAACGATCACCACTGTTAATAACAGCCACACGTCTACGTTGTACACCTCGTACCTGCACCACATAATATTCAATAATGTTATATATCATTGATCACGTGTGGTCATACCTGTCCTAAGCTGTCTGGGATTAGCGTGGGGTGTTACCTAGCACCATGGCTTGTTGTAGTGCTTTAAAATCTCAGGTTAAAGTGTTGAATAAGGAGATTCTACTTCTTCAGGAGGAAAATAGGAGGCTGAAGCTTCATCTACATGGGCTTGGGAGTGAGTGGAAGATGGTGGTAGCTGGTGAGGAGGAAAAAGTTACCAGCAGTGATTTGGAGAATGGCAGCCGCATTAAGTGGCAACTGGTTCAGAATTCAGGAAGAAGGATGATAAGGAAGGTTATTAGAGAAGATTTGAAGGTTGGAAATCGATTCTCTGTTCTCCAAGACGAGTGTACTTCAGTGGTTAGTGAATTTAAAGGTACCACTGACACCCCTGCTTATCAAGGTAAGAATAGTCTGATCGTGGGAGATTCTCAGGAAAGATATATGGACCGTGCTTTTTGTAACAGAGATGGAAAGGTCAGACAGAGAGTCTGTCTCCCAGGAGCTGGTGTTGGTGACATAGTCAGCAGGTTTTATATTATGTCAGGCAATGGGAACAAGGCCATTATCTGTCTTAGTGCTGGTGGAAATGACATTGGGAATGGGAGGAGACAGGAACTGCTGGATAAGTATAGGTCAGCCATAGATGTAGTCAGGTCTAAGGGAGGGATCCCAGTCATATGTAGCATCTTGCCTAGGAAGGGAGCGGGCAATGAATGGATGTCTAGGGCAATTGGTATAAATTGCTGGCTAGACAGGTACTGCAAGGAACTTGCTATTCCATTCATTGATAACTGGGACATATTCTATGGCAAACATGATATGTATGCAAGGGATGGGGTTCATCTCTCTGGGGTTGGAGTAGTTGCATTAGCCAATTCGATTGGGGGGGTCATTGTTGACTTGTCTAGGACTTTAAACTGATAGATAATAGAGGTATGGGTGTCTACGGGAAACAGTCAGGCTGCAGTACTAGGGTTGATAACAACAGATATAACCACGATACTTCAGGGATATGTTTAAAAGACAATATTCAAAATGAAGCTGCTAGTAAAGGCAAAGCAATTGATCAACATACAAAGAGAGATAGTAGAGGGCAACGAGTGACTAGCTCCCTTAAGGTTTAATATGCAAACAGTAGGAGTCTAAGAAATAAGATAAATGAGCTAAGATTACTTGCAAGTGTAGGTAATATAGGTATTATTGCTATAAGAGACCTGGTTCAACTTGAAGGATATAGAAATGCCCTTAGAATGCAACATACAGGGTTATAAACTATTCCATACTGATAGGGTCAACAGAAAGGGGGGTGGAGTGGCGATGTAGGTCAGAGATAATTTAAATTGTTGTGTTAAACAAGATATAAGATTAGAAACATCGGACACAGAATCTGTTTGGCAACAGTTTCTCGAGGGTCGTGACAAGTTAATTTTGGGTGTGATTTATAGGCCCCCAAACCATGATAAAGACTGCAGTAAGCTGCTATGGGACGAAATTCTTAAGGCATCTAGATATGAAAATGTTGTGTTAATGAGAGATTTTAACTTTAGACAAATTGACTGGAACAATATGATAGGAAATCTTGAATCTAGTGACTTTCTTGATACGGATCAGGATTGATTTTTAAAACAGTTTATGACAGAACCAACTAGAGGAAACAATCTGCTTGACTTGTTCTTGCCAACAAAGAATCACTAGTTAATAATGTTGAGGTTAATGATGAGATAGGGGAAAGTGATCACAAATCACTTAGTTTCAATATATCATGGAATTACCCGGACAACTGCAATCAAATCTCTGTCCCAGACTTTCGCTTGGCCGATTTCATGGGGCTGAAAAATTACCTGGGTGGGCTAAAATGGGATGTAATGACTATGGGTCAGGTAGGTGGTCTTGGTTTCCAATATGACGTTTTTCAGAGCATAGTTCTAGCTGCCCAGACAACCTTTGTTCTGAGTAGGGAAATTAGATCTAACAAAAATGATCCCAAATGGATGAACAGTAGATTAAAACATCTCATTTATCAAAAGAGAGGCATATATAAGCGTATCAAAAGAGGGGATGGGCAGTTAAGAAATCAGTATATTCAATTGAAGAGATAAATTAAAAAAGGAATAAGAAAAGCAAAAAGGGATTATGAGGCTAAGGTCGCAAGGGATTCGAAGACTAACCCGAGAGGGTTCTTTCAGGTATACAAAAGTAAGATTAGGGACAAGATAGGCCCACATAAGAGTAACTCAGGTCGGATCACTGACAGTGATCAGAATATGTGTGAAATTTTCAATTCTTACTTCCTCTCAGTTTTTACTCAGGAAGATAATAGCGAAATTCCAGAAATAATAGATTATGCAGAACAGGACGATAATAAGCTATGCACAGTTGCGGTAACCAGTGACATGGTCCTCAGACAAATAGAGAAATTAAAACCTAACAAATCCCCAGGCCCTGATGAACTGTTTGCAAGGGTGTTAAAGGAATGTAAAGAGGAACTTAGCATACCTTTGGCTGATCTTTTCAACATATCACAGCAAACTGGCATAGTGCCAGACAAGTGGAAAATGGAAAATGTATTACCTATTTACAAGGCAGGTGACAGGTCCTTGGATTCGGAGTATAGACCAATAAGCTTTACCTCAATAGTTGGAAAATTTATGGAATCAATAATTGCCGAAGTAATTCGTAGCCATCTCGAAAGGCATAAGCTGATTAATGAATCTCAGCATGGTTTTACAAAGGGGCGTTTCTGTCTTACGAATTTACTAACTTTCGTCACTAACGTATTTGAGGAGGTAGATCATGATGTTGAGTATGATATTGTGTATATGGACTTCAGTAAGACTTTCGATAGAGTTCCACATCAGAGACTATTGAGGAAACTTAAGACACAAGGAACAGGAGAATTTTTTTTCCTGGGTAGAGGCATGGTTGACAAATAGGCAGCAGAGAGTTTGCATAAATGGGGAGAAATCAGAATTGGGGCACGTCACAAGCGGTGTTCCACAAGGGTCAGTGTTGGGCCCCTTGTTGCTCACAACCTACATAAACGACATAGATGAGGGAATAAATAGCGACATAGGCAAATTTGCTGATGACACTAAAATAGGCAGACTGATTCATTCTAACGAGGACATTAGAGCACTCCAGGATGATTTGAATAGACTGATGCAATGGTCGGAGAAGTGGCAGATGCAGTTTAATATAGTCAAATGCAAAGTTCTAATTGTTGGACAGGAAAATAACCATGCCACATATAAACTAAATAATGTAGATGTTAATATTACGGATTGCGAAAAGGATTTATGAGTTATGGTTAGTAGTAATCTAAAACCAAGGCAACAGTGCATTAGTGTTCTCAATAAGCTAACAGAATCCTTGGCTTCATAGTAAGAAGTATAAATAATACAAATCCTCAGGTTTTTCTTCAACTCTATATATCTTTGGTTAGACCTCATTTAGACTATGCTGCTCAGTTCTGGTCACCGTATTACAGAATGGATATAAATGCTCTGGAAAACGTACAGAGGAGGATGACAAAGATGATCCCATGTATCAGAAATCTTCCCTATGAGGATAGACTTAGGGCCCTGAACCTGCACCCTCTAGAAAGGCGTAGAATTAGGGAAGATATGACTGAGGTGTATAAATGGAAAACGGGAATTAATAGAGGGTATGTAAATAGCGTGCTAGAAATATCTAACATAGACAGGACTCACAGCAATGGCTTTAAATTGGAAAAAATCAGATTCAGGAAGGATATAGGAAAGCACTGGTTTGGTAATAGAGTTGTGGATGAGTGGAACAAACTCCCGAGTACTGTCATAGACGTTAAGACGTTGTGTAGTTTTAAAAATAGGTTGGATAAATACATGAGTGGGTGTGGGTGGGTGGGAGTTGGACCTGACTAGCTTGTGCTACTAGGTCGGATGCGCTGCTCCTCCCTTAAGTGACGTGTCTGACCTAACTAGGAGAATTGGTGGGAGAATTTAAGCTACCTCGCATAGGCCAGTAGGCCTGTTGCAGTGTTCCTTCTTTCTTATGTTCTTATGTTCATGAGATCTCGTAATATTTAACACATTTTTTTAAAAATTAACTCTCCACAGGATTTCTGCTAATCGAAGCCTAACAAAGTATTATTTAAGACAAATACATTTATTTTTTTATTTATTATCAAACAGTTATATAACAATAATTTGCAGAAAAACAAAATTGAAATTTGGAGGAAAAATTCATTGAAATTTTACTTTAAAATTTAGCAAAAACTTGCTGTAGGAAAAATAATTTGACATATTCTGGGTTAAAAATAATTCTTAGAATAGTGAGTTTCATGATACAACTATCACATTTGTTGTTATGTGTCTCCGTGTGATACATTGCGTGTACTTGGAGCCACGGACCTACACTGAACATGATTCCTTATGTATTGTGTGTCACGAGCATAAGAATACTCAAGGCACAGCAACGCTAGACGAAGAATGAAGAAATTAACCCTACATTAGAAAATGTAACCCGAGTAACAATAACCTGATTACCTTAACATTAACAAAGACAAAGCAAAACTAGCAAAAGTATAATAAAAAGGGACTGATAATACTGATCACAGCATGGTAATACTAGTGGTAATATTAACCAGAGCATGGTAATACTAGTGGTAACACTAACCAGAGAATGGTAATACTAGTGGTACCACTAACCAGAGCATGGTAATACTAGCGGCAACACTAACCAGAGAATGGTAATGCTAGTGGTAACACTAACCAGAGCATGGTAATACTAGTGGTAACACTAACCAGAGTATGGTAACACTAGTGGTAATACTAACCAGAGCATGGTAATACTAGTGGTAACACTACCTAGAGCATGGTAATACTAGTGGTAACACTAACCAGAACATGGTAATACTAGTGGTAGCACTAACCAGAGCACGGTAATACTAGTGGTAACACTACCTACAGCATGGTAATACTAG